AATATGATAGAAAAGAAGAAGGAGGAGATACAGCGTCAGGCTGAGAACAGGGCACTCGAATCAAATTTTTGTGGACACTACAAAGAACTGCGGGAAGAAGGAGTAAACATGCATTACCTACTGGAAATGGAAAATTTTGGGGATATTCGATGGCTCTTTAAATTAAGATGTGGGGTTCTATATTTGAATGATCGACCTGGCAGAAATGATGAAAGAAGATTTTGCTCAATGTGTAACACGAAGGAAAGGGAAGATGTGATACATTTTTTGGGAAAATGTTCGGTGTTGAGACATATTAGGTTAAAGTGGTTGGGTAGACATGAACTTAGTAGAGTGGAAGTAGTTACTATGATGAGACAGGGCAAGGCTGAGTTAGCAGGTTATTGTAGGGAGGCATGGGTGTATAGGTATGAGTTAGTGAGCCTATTTAACTACTAAATCTATTAGCGTGGTGTTATATTAAAATTAGGATTAATAATTTGTTTGCTTATATCTATTATCTTTTTATCTATCTGGTCTATCTTGACTAATATTGTTATTATTATTGTTACTATTATTATTGTTGTATCTGCAGCTTTCACTCCCTCAAAGGGATATTCAATCTTTTCAATTGTAATCTATACCTCACTGTTATACATTGTTATTATTGTTAAGTCTAGTGCGAAGTGTTACTTAGTAGGATATATACATTTAGTTTATTACTAACATTTATATGAATATTTACATAATTTATTTTTTATTTATTTTAATGGCCTTGTTAGATAGAATAAGCCTTTGTGTAATTTTTTGTATATTAATTAGGGAATATTTGTTTGCCAACCCTCCTGATGGCATGTGCCAAGGAGAACAAATGTCACTAAAAGTATTGTATTGTATTTTTTTTATATTGAGAAATAAAAGGCATTATTGATTGATTGATTGATTGATTGATATATTTGTCTTTATTGTGTCTTAGTTGAAATAAAAGAATCAATTTAAAACAGAATTTTCATTATGGAATAAAAGTAAGGAAAGATTTATCGAACATGAAAGATCCAATCATCTTATAGATAATCTGAAAATTTCTACGACTCGCTTATTAAAGCAAGGAAGAGTTAATGTAGAACTCGAAAAGGAAATTAGCACTGCGAAAGAATATTGGGTTAAAGTAGTAGAAAGAATTATAGGTGTAATAAAGTTTCTGGCTACCAGGGAATTGGAATTTAGAGGTACCCATGAAAGAATTGGCTATAAACGGAATGGAAACTACTTAGGTTTACTGGAACTATTGTCAGAATATGATTCATTTTTAAAAGATCATATTAATAAATGAGAAAATTTAGGTAAGGCACAACGTCATATATTATTAAATCAAAAGATATATGTAACGAATTACTGAATATTTTGTCCAATCGAGTCATTGATGAAATTGTTAGGCAAATAAAGGCAAACAAATACTATTCTATAAGTGCAGATTCGACACCTGACATAACACACCATGACCAACTTACAGTGATTTTAAGATATTGTAACAATAAAGGGAATCCCATGGAAAGATTCGTGGGATTTTATAAAAACACTGGGCATAGCAGCTCACAAGAACTTGAGAAAACAGTTTTTGGGATGTTGGAGTATTTGAAATTAGATATTAAGAACTGTAGAAGCCAGTCTTATGACAATGGCAGTAATATGAATGGCAAGTATTCTGGTTTGCAAGCATATATTAAAGTTTACAATGATTTAGCTCTCTTTGTGCCGTGTGCTGCTCACGCTTTAAATTTGGTCCTCCAAAATGCAGCAGATTGTTGTTTAGAACCAACATCTTTTTTTTATGTTGGTACAAGCTATCTACAATTTTTTCTCTGTGTCTACACACAGGTGGGAGTTATTGTCTCGTGCAATAAAGAATTCGCCTGAGTCGGGGCAGACACTGTACCTAAAAGAGTGACTACAATCTATTGGTCCTTTCGTTTTAATGCCGTAAAAGCGTTAAAAGGCAATTACGGTTTGATTAAAATATGTTTGATTGAAATGTCAACGAATATAAATAAGAAAAATGTAAGAGTTGAAGCAGCTTCTCTATCAGAAAAACTTGATTTGTTGGTAAACAGAATAATTTTATCATTCTGGCTTGACGTTTTACAAAGAGTTAATGAGGTTAAAATCATTTTTTCATTAAAATGAAAATGTACGTGCCTACACTGTTTTTAGATAATACAAAATACAAACAAAATTCTATTTACACAGCAGCATGAAGTGACGTTGCTGCGGACATTGACGCGCTTGCTATCAGTAATCCTGTTTTGAACAAGTTTCGTTTGCACTTTCGATGTTTGCTGTTTTTTCATGATCAACTTTCTAAAATTACGAAAATGTGTAGAATATAGTTTAACTATTTGACGAATAATCAATTAAAAGTTATTAGATCGTCGAGATGCAATCTTACAATGTCATTTTTAACAATTTTGTCATCTTGTTCGCTATCTTAACTTCCACTTTTAGTCATGATGTTATACCCAGGGTTACCTTCATCTACTTCTATACTACGTTCCACGTTTAGAAAATAACATTGCGGAGATAGGGCCATGTATTTCTTATGGACGATAGCAACGCGGCGTTGCCACGACACACACAAGAACAATTTAGGGTTGTATAATTTGTATTTTCATTTCCAAAAACATGAATTAAATTAATGTTTTTTAACGTAATTGACCAAAAGTGCCCATTCGAAACAAGAGATGAAAAGTAGGGAAAATGATTTTAATTAGATAAATAGTATTTACAAAAGATAATTTTATTTTATCTTATTTTAATTATAGTAACGACAGTTTATTTGTTTTTCGGTGAGAATACGATATGCCATGAATCATAGAAATCAGTAGAAAATATTGACTGCTTGGAATGCGTATATATCTAATTACTAATTGCAACTTAAAATAATATGATGTGCGTATGTCAGCTATTTTATGTCGTTCTCTGACTACATAATGATACTAAGGCTTTTATTTAGTAGTTATTCTGACTTTACAGTTAAATGTTAATTGAAAATGAAAATTCAAAAATTAAGCAAAGGGAATATCTTGGACGTCCGTGCAAAAGAGAGTGTCTGAGAGTTTTGGCAACACTGATCTCCATAAGCGTAATGTTATTTTCTTAACTTGAAACAAAGAATAGTCATTGTAATACATCTTCCTCTGCTACATGTTCTTCGGCATTATTATGTATTGTCCTACAGAAATCAGTAACTTTCAACTTTTTTAAATATATTCTTTTATTCACGATTCCGTGCCTTTCGCGAAAGCGCTAGAGCCATCCATCACTTGCTCTGAATGGTATGTCCTTAAGATTTGCTAATTTAATTGCAGCTGATTTTAATCCGACTGCTTGGATCTGGATCCCATTAGAATGTTGTTGGCCATACTATTTTAAGATTGCTTCTTCCATTGAAGTTTCATGAGCCAATTTCATTCGTTTAACAGTATGTTTTTATTTTTTTTACATTTGACCGGATTATTTGTCTGTTATATCCGAAGTCTGTTAAATGAAGGTCCGTTATATCGAGGTTTTACTGTATTGATATTCTTTGAATGACAATATAATTTTTCCAGCTACTAGCAGTGGCATTTTCAAGAGTGGTAATAAAAACATCATTAAATTTTTATAACTGAATTTTACACAAATACAGAAAGAAATAAAATTGAAATTACAACAAACTGAAAATAAACAAAACTGCTAGTATAACCTCATAAACAAATGACAATATGTGGAGCAAGTAGACCAGAAATTTATCTTTAAGTATATTCAACAAAGAATAATCAAGTAATCAAATTAAAATATTTAAATAAAATGTTATGTATTCATTTGTTGATAGAATTACAAACATGCAGTCATTGTTGTATAAAGTTTACCTACTTTAAGTGTAAATTTATTGCATGATATGACCCATTAAATTAATGTTTCACAACTTAGCAGGCAGGCTATATATTAACAAATTGTAAAAGTAATTAACAACAAAAATAATTATGTAACTATTTTTTTAAATTACCCAAATACACACCCAACTGACCTGGATTTGAGACAAACAAATTAATAATACATTTTCTGCAGTATATTATAATATTATTATATACATATTCTTGTGATCAAATTTAAAAATTAGAGCAACCATAACAAAAACACTGTAATTAAAAATTAGAAATTATAGAAAAATAACACTGTTTAAAAACAAGAAATTTTAAAACCTATGTAAAACGATTTAATGATATTCCTGTAATGTGTATCCAATCCAAAGGTCATCTATAGCATTTAATTTTCAAAAAAATAGTCATTAACTTTTTGCAAATACTTGAAAATATGTAAAAAAAACTTACCCATTTTGTAGTGCCCCTACAATTACAGGGTTGAACCCATGCAGCGGTTCTATCTTCCTCATCTGTTGCAAAACATACCCAGCAGTACCTGGCAGAGTCTTTGTTGTGTACTTGAACCCCAGTCTCTGTATTACTGCCTCTATCTTCTTGCGAATTACTAGGAGATTGTTCATCAGTAACTGAGTCCATAATGTTATATTTTCATAACAAGTGATTTAGAGACAATCCGTGACAATTAGTAATTGAAATGTATGAAACTACAAATTATATCATATTGTCCACCAAATATTGCAAAATTTATATTGAAAAACACATCACAAATGTCAATTACGAAATGTCACTTTTGACTTGGGGTTGAGGAGATTTCTTTTGACTGAAGTTAGGTACAATTTCAATTTGTTTATTTTTTATCTGATCAGTGGCAGACAACATATTATTTTAAGGAGATATTTTGAAAGGAATGATGGAATAAAAATAAAGCTTCAGAAATTAATTACGCAATTTGTAATAAAAATATGAAATCACTTCTAATAAAAGCAATGCAGAAAGCAATATATCAAGACAATCCTTAATATAATATGATTTTAAAATTATTTTTTTTGGACTTTTTATATTAACTGACTTATATTTTATGGAAATGGAGAATGTATTTAAAGTTTTATTGAATTAAAATATAATACAATTTGTATAATATTAAGTTTTCTTTCCTTTTTTTCCTTTTTTCTTCTTTGGTTCAGCGGTCATTTTATTAATAAACTGTTCATAATGAAAAGATCCCTCTAATTCCTCAGCTTTAGCTGCTTTCAACGTTTGTTTCTCCAATTCCTTCCATTCTAAGAAACTTAATTTTTCTCCCACCTTGCAAAGACCTTGTCTTAACTCTTCTAACAGTATGATTCCATCTTGATCTTCATCGAATACTTTAAATGCTTGGAAAATCTCATCCTCGTTAGTAGTTTCCATTTTTCGATGAATCAGTATAAGCAAAGGAAAGAACGCTAAAAAACCTGTATTTTCTGGATCCATTTCCTCCATCATATCCATTAATTCCGCTTCGGTAGGATATAATTTTAAGCTACGAAGAACAATTCCAAGTTCTTTAATTTTCATTCTATCTGCTGGTTCTTTTTTAGTTGCAAGATTGAAGTTTTCATCGAAGAAAAGTTTATACTTTTCAATTTCTTCGGGGGGAAATAGCTCCTTAGCTTCATTTTCAAATGGTTCAGCCTTTTTTTGTTTATTTTTCTTTGCTCCAAATGGTTGGGCCATTTTTAAGATAAAAACTTTAAAGTTTACAAATTTAATAGATATAATGAGTAAATATTATGTCATAATAGATCAATGTCACAAATATGAATAATTGATTTGAATTCCTAGAATATTACGTGTTATTAAGAAACAATAATCATCTTTAAAAGAAATAAATGAATAAGAATAAAATTGTTCGTCAATCTGTGGCATCTTAATATTTAACATAAGATTGTGAACCGATAACCATCCTTTACCTACGACCTAGTCAATCAAAATGAAGGTCATATTGGCTTTTTTATAAATATATTAAAGGCCATTTATTCGTATACTTACAAACGACGGATATATAACTACCATTAATTTTTCTTAATACTTAATTAGTAAAAAGTGATTTATATAAAAGTGTATTGCAATATTTTAATGTATTATTGATTAATTGGTTAAAAATGTATTATAATGATTTGTTTAAAAATATAAAAATTGAAGATTGCTCAACGGGATGAGAAATGTTAGCCATTTTTACGGGATGAAAAGCTGAATATTTTGGAATGAATTTTTTTAAACAAAAATGGAGGCTTTGACTTTGTTATCGGATTCAAATTTTTGCAGGCTTTGTGCTGAAATTAACGAGCATGGCATAGACTTATTTACACCAGATGAAAATAGTTCAAATTTACAACAATTAATAAATAAATATTTACCTATAGAAGTAAGTAAAAATGTCAAGTTTAGAATTCAACTTGATCCTTTAAGTAGTTGGGGAAGTTTAAATAAAAATTTCGCTTTTCAGGTTGAAATGGACACTAAATTTCCAAAATATATTTGTCCAGGATGTCACATTCAGTTGGAATCTACAAAATTGTTTTTAGACTTAATAGTGGAAGGTCAAGCAAAATTAAGGGAAATGTACAAGAAACAGCAAGAAATATTACAAAAACAAACACTTGATATTTTCTGTAAGGGAATATTACATAGCATATTACATAGTATATTATAACGTTTTAAATTTTTTTTCTAAATTGGAAGTCAAAATATTACTGATCATTCCATTCTGTCTTTTAGCTTCGATCAGTTATCCTCTTTATGCAGTAGATAATGCCCTAAGGTTACAGGCTGAAGGGCTGGAAAGGCCGAAAAGAAAACGAGGTAGACCAGCTAAAAAAACTGTTCCTGAGGAAGGACTAAACAATCAGGAAACAGAGACTAAACATGAAGAAAAAGAAGAGGAGGTTGAGGAAGTTGGAGCAGATGGAAGGCGAAAAAGGAGAATTAGAGCACCTGCTAGATATCAAGGAGTTGTACAGGTATGGATTTACTTAACTTTATTAAGGATGTGATTAGTCAAAAATATTCTTATAATCCACCTATTTTATATTGAAATTCTGTTGGAAACAGCAATAACAATCGAAATTCAACTCATTTTATTGATTATTGCTGAAACCTGGCTAGAGCAAATAATATTTTAGCTTCATTGGTTATAATGCATAATATATCAGTAGAGTTAAACCAGGAGATGGTATTGGCATACTTATACCACCAAAAAAATGTTATATTAAATAGGTATCTCAAAATACCATTTGTGTTACAAGATATTACTTAATAATAGTATTACTAATATCATTTCTTTATTTTTTTTCCTTTCTGTTTGTGGCAGTTTTAAACAATTCTCTTAAAATAAACATTTTAGGGCAAAGAATTAGATGATATACTTAAAAAAGAAGGTGTAATTGATGAAGGAAATACTTCGATGGAAACAATATTAAAAGTAGAACAACCAAAATTTAATATAAGTGAATTAATTATTGGCAGAACAGAAGGAGAATGTGGAGAAGATTTAGACACACCGGTTTTTCTTAATAAACCAAGATCTAAAAGAAAAGCAAGTAAGTACTCACTAACTCTTGTTATTTCTACTCAGTGTTTTTATGCAGTAGTGTTTTGAGAGAAATGTTGTGGGTATTGAATGAAAACTAAGCTATTGGTGAGTATCTGAACATGTGGAAGGTAGATACATTGAAATAACTAGTATTGTGGCAGATTTAAGAGAAACTGATAAATTCTATAAGTGAGATTAGATGATGGCTCAATGTTAAGCCCATATTTGTCAGCCAATCATATCAATGGATAGCTATTAAAAAAATACTGCCATACTTGGATTTTAAGGAAAGGCTGATGTTTAGTTCCAAAAGTAAAAAGTAAATAATAGAGTTGGCACACACATTATAAAAATATTTTTACTGCCAAATACATGTAGTGTATTTAATATAGAACTGTCTACAATCTATGAAATCTTTAACAGCAACCTATTAAACATCAGCGATCTGCACAGATTCTATATCATCAATATATGTAATAAAAGAAACCTTTGCATGAAAACCCAATCATCCAAAATATACATGATGAATATGAATGGATAGAAAATCCCTGATCCGCACTTTATCACATCTAGGTATTCTTGAGAATGAGATGGCTAACAGCATACAAAAGAAGCTACTGAGAAAAATCTGTAAATAAAAAGTCTGCAAAAACATCTACAAATAAAACGTAATTTGAATGCTATTTTTAAGAAGCAAATGATAAGGGAACTTTTACCAATTTCAGTGACTACATTAGTCAAGACACACATATTTAAATAAAAAACCTAATTACTTAATTAACTTTTCCTTAATGTAACCTTTGTCTTACAGTTACTCATAAAAACATTGAAATGGTCATTTATAAGTGCGATATTTGTTCAAAAGAGTACATAAATAAAATGCATTTTGACCTTCATGTACAATCCCATGAAAATGAGGATCTGAACACAGTGCAACTGGAGACTAGTCTAGAAGATCCATGCAATACTACAGAAGAGTCAATAGAACAGGTAAGTCAAATATTTTAATATATACTCTGAGATTCTCTCCTTATTATATATTATATACATATATATGTGAGATTTATTAGAGATTTAACAAAGTAGGTCCTGGAATCACATAAATATACAGATCGAGTATTTATACAGATTAGCTTCTTCTAGATGTTCTAAGCTAAGATTCTAAGCTCAGATATCTAGGCTGCTATGTGCTTTGCCTAAACACTTTGCTGCAGCACTTCTTGTGATAGGTCCTGTGTACATGTTAGAGCTGTCTTTTTTTAATAAAATTATTACATTTTAGGTTACTTTGGAGTTTGACACAATTGAAAGTCCCGGAAACAAAATTGATGAATTTTCATTGGACAATAACAATCTTCACGACTCAGATGAAAATAAAAACGTTTGTAATAAATGCAATGTATCATTTCCTTCACAAGAACTACTAGAACTACATTTAACTGACTGTAGTAAAACAAAAGATTATACTTGCAATATTTGTGGTAAAGTTTTACACCATCCCAGCAGCTTGTTATATCACAAAGAGGCCGAACACAACAATAAGAGGTTCGTTTGTATTATATGTAATAAACAGTTTAGACATCGGATGCTGTTGCAGAAACACCAGGTAAGTTGTATATTCTATGAAGTAATTTTGGTTCATACACTGAGTGGCAAAAAAAGTGGCCACCCTTAAAATTTTCAAAAATAAAAATTCATTAAAAGTTTTATTATGCTTGTTTTTGACAGTTTTGATATTTATTGTTCCGGTTGTAGAGTAGTTACCTCGCTAAGAGATGATGGTTTTATTGTGATCGAACTTTTAAGAAATCGCCATTCCCCTGCAATTGCTGAAGAAACTGTCTGCAGGAGTTTCGAAATGGGAATGTAAGTGAGAGAACGGTTAAAAGACGCCTCAATGAAAGAATTACAACCCAAACACTGTAGGAATCGATAATTTTTTTCTCTACAACATCCACACTGGGATATACAGAATTGGAGCTGAATGTTCTTTACTGATGAATCATGGTTCTGTTTGAAGTCTGGCGATGGCTGAGATAGGGTTTGGAGACGAAGAAAGTAAAGATATGCCTAAGCTTGTATGTCCCAGAGAACAAAGTTTGGTGGTGGTGGTGTCATAGTTTGGGCTAGAATCTCATTTGAAGCTCGAACTGAACTTATTTTCATCAATGGCCCCCTGAGTACTCACTGGTATATAGAGGATGTTTTGGCAGAAGCAGTAGTTTCATTTGGTTCTTTTATTAGGGACAATTTCGTCTTTATGCGTGATAATGCATGGCCGCATACCGCAAGAATCCTGACATACTACTTGGGGAAAGTTGGAATTGAGACTCCAGAATGGCCAGCCTGCAGTCCCGATCTGAATATCAGCGAACATATTTGGGATGAACTACATCGTAGGGTTATAAGTCAACCAGGCCAGCCAGAAAGTCTTGTAGAACTACAAAACATGCTTTGCGAAGAATATGAACGTATTTCTTAAGTTTTTATTCAAAATTTTTTCTTTCCCTTTTCAAATCCTATGCAAACGATTATTGATGTTTTACCTAGGCATAATACCCGATATTAGACAATTTTGTTTAAGTTCGTGCTTAAACGTAATTATTACTTATATAATAAATACAGTTAGCCGCAAAAAGTGGCCACCCCATAGGGTGGCCACTTTTTGCCGCTACTGTATTTATTATATAAGTAATAATTACATACATAATATAAATTGCTGCTTAGAAAATTTTTACCATATTTTATATGATGCCATCAATATGTTTGTTCCTATCAAACGGTTTAAATCATTAAACTTTCCAGTTTGGTTTTCGCGAGAATTAATTGAGCTTGTCATACAGAAAAAAATAGCTCACAAGAATTTTAAAGCATCAGGCAACTCATATGATGAATTTTCGGTGTTAAGGGAAAGATGTAAAGCATTACAAGCAGTATGTTATAAGAACTATTTAGAGGATATTCAAACAAATCTTTCAAGTAATCCCCACTCTTTTTGGAGGTATGTTAGTACTACACGTGGGTCTAGTGCTTATCCTAATGTAATGTCTAATAAAGGTGGGGATGTAATAGCTCAGAATGGTGATGAAATAGTCAATTTATTTGCCAGCTATTTTTCAGGTACATATAATGATAGTGAGTGTAAATTACCTAATTTTAAATTGGACTATAATGTGGATTTCCAGAGTCTGAAGTTTAGTCTGACTGATGTTTTCGAGGGGATTAGCAGTTTAAAAACTACATATTCTTCAGGGCCTGATGGTATACCTGCAGCACTTATTAAGAACTGTATTTTTTCCCTTTGTAAACCTTTACAACAAATTTTCAATTTATCGTTGTCATCATCTGTATTTCCACAATATTGGAAAAATAGTTTTCTTACACCTATCTATAAATCTGGCAATCGCGAGTGTGTTAACAATTATAGAGGTATAACTATTCAATCAGCAATCCCGAAACTTCTTGATAAATTGGTATCGATAAATCTCACCTGGGCTTGCAGAAACATAATTATTGATGAACAACATGGTTTTTCTAATGGGAAATCAACTGTAACAAACCTTCTCAATTACCAACAATACTTGTTGGGTGCATTTGAGAATAAAATTCAGGTTGACAGCGTTTACACTGATTTCTCAAAGGCCTTTGACCAGGTTAATCATAATCTTTTGGTCCACAAACTTCATGCATCTGGCTTTGGTGATCCCATTGTTAATTGGATTAAAAGTTTTCTGATGGGACGTACACAGCAAGTTCGTATTAACAATTATATTTCAAAAGAATTTCATTGTTATTCTGGTGTACCACAAGGGTCTCATTGTGGTCCCTTGTTTTTTAACTTGTTCATTAACGATATTGGTAAGGCTATCAAAAACTCACACTTCCTGCTATTTGCTGATGATCTTAAGATATTTCGTTGTATACGTAATAAATCGGATAGAGATCTCCTGCAAGATGATGTAAACAACATATGTTTGTGGTCAAAACAAAATGGTTTAAGCTTAAATCCAACTAAATGTTCTTGTATTTCATTTGGTCGTATAAATAATCTAATGGCTAATAGATATATTCTTAATGATGTACTCTTGGATTCAGTTACTGAGATTAGAGATTTGGGTGTATTATTGGATTGTGCATTGACATTTAGAAGCCATTTTCTTAAAGTTAAGGAAACAGGATTTCGTAATCTTGGTTTTATTTATCGCAACAGTCATGATCTCTCACCTATTGTATTTAAATTATTGTATTGCTCTCTGGTACGCTCAGGTCTTGAATACTGCTCTGTTGTCTGGTCCCCGTTTCATCAAGTATACATTGATGGATTGGAGAGCGTTCAGAGGAAGTTTCTAAGATCTTTAGCTTTTAAAGCCCATATTAATATAAAAAATACTGAAAATTATTTCATAGATTATTCTATAATAATGTCTCATTTTAACATTGATACATTGAAGAACCGCAGGTTGAGAGCTGATATGTTATTTTTGTTTAAAATTCTGAACAATGTTATTAATTGTCCCTCGTTATTGGCCAATGTACACTTAAACACAATGCATAGAACTCGACACACTGCACTCTTTCATATTCCTTTTCATAGGACTGATTATGCTCGTCATTTTCCCCTGTCAAGAATGCTCAGCTCTTGCAATGACCTCCTATTGGATCCTTTCTGCATAAACATTAATGCTTTTAAAAGGCAACTTAAGAATCTGACTATTAATCTGGATATGTGATACTTACTATGTGATACTGATACTTTTTTAAAATTTTTGTGATATGATATATTGTTTTAATGTACAAATTTTAACTGTTTACTTGTTTCTTTGTTATTGTTTTGATGTTTATTGTACATGATCTTTACTTTTTACTATTTTTTGTATTTTATTGTAAATGGTTCTACCGTTGGAATGAATAAATAAATAAATAAATATATGCAATATCATGGTACCAATTCAAATATCATAGAAGAATAATATCAAGCGATTAAGCTTAAAGCTTAAAAAAACTATTTCATATTTCTATTCGTTTTTGTGACTAGTTATATTTATTCATATCGTGTCGATAAACAGGAAAACAGGGGAACTTGTTTATTTTACTAGTATTGTTGTTGAAAGCAAACTAATTATTTAGAACTTCGTCTGCAGGTGGATGTTTTTCAGAGTTGTTTCGTTCTGAAACGTGTTTAAAATAGCTTAATTCTTAAATAATCTTCCAGTTTAAATCATTATGTTTTTCTATCAATTTTGTAACGTCAACTCCTTCTTCTTGTTTTACTTGTAAAGTAAATATTTACCTTTTAAAGAACGTGGTCTAAGAGATTTATTTATCAAGAACTTTACTTGCTTTATGTCCTTTTGCAGTTTTTTCATCTTTTGTGATGTAAGTACAGTTAGGCATTTTTTTTCCAATACAGTCTCGTTTCATCAGCACGATCAATACTTGATCGGCACAATAGTCACCATCTTCAATAATTTTCGGTAGCTCCTGTGATCTTGATATTATGAAATGCATTTCTTTTTATAAACCCAATTAGCTATCCTTCGCTAGCCGAAAATTTTTACCAGCTTGGGAAGTAGAAGTTGGTGGCCATGACTGTTTGATTAACTAATGAAACTGAAGATTTTTTTCCTGGATTAAATAACTTTTTTTTATTATTAGACCTATTTATTATTTTTTATTAATTTCAAGAATATCCAATCACGAAAATAAAATTTACATGCTAGCATATTATAAATAGTAAATAATTTTTGTTTTAGATGGTTCACAGCGACAAGAGGCCGTACATTTGTCAAATCTGCAACGCCGCTTTTAAATCAATAAGTTATCTAGTGAATCACCAAAAGATTCACTCGGGCGAAAAGAAGTACGAATGTACGGAATGCGGCCATAAGTTCGCCCACAAAACCTCATTGGCTGTGCACCAGCGAGGACACGACGGTATCAAACCTTACGAATGCGAATTTTGCCATAAAACTTTCTCACAAAGCGGGAATTTGATAGAGCACAAAAGGATACATACGGGGGAAAAGCCCTATTGTTGCGACGTATGCGGAAAAAATTTTACTACATCGTCGCAGATGAGGATGCATATGAAAATCCATACAGGTAAAACTATTTATTCTGAATAATACTCGTATTTATAGCGTTATTCTTTTCTAAGTAGTCTTCTAAAATCTAAAAAAAACACAGCTGCCGTGAGAAGCCCAAAATACTGATTGTTGTGCTCTCTAATTTCTTTACCAATAGATTTCTAACATAAAAATGGTCGCATCCTTCTATATTTTCTTATCGTTGTCTTTTTTTTTGTTTTTATCGGAACAAATGAGACATAATAAATATAGAGTACTACAGCTGATCGTTCAAGGGAAAATAGACAGCAGAAGGGGTCCAGGGAGGAGAAGACACTCGTGTCTCCAAAACTTGCGGCAATGGTTCGGATTGTCATCTGCTGAACTATTCAGATCTGCCGTAAACAAAGTCAGAATAGCCATGTTGATTGCCAACGTTCGGAACGGACAAGGCACATGAAGAAGAAGAAGAACCTGCAAGACAAGGATTTTATCTTACATTATAGCCCAGGCTACAAATATAAATGAATATGATTTAATCATCAATCAGCCAATCGCGTCCACTGCCGGACATATGCCTCCCTCAGTTCGTTCGAGTGTTCTCTACAGCCGTTTGTAGCCAGTTACCCGCTACACGTTTTATATCATCGGTCCATCTAGTCGGTGGTCGTCCTCGGCTTCTTTTATAGTTTCTGGGCCTCCATTCCATAATACGTCTTGTCCACCGTCCATCTTGTATTCTGGCTAAGTGCCCTGCCCAGTTCCACTTAAGCGTTGTGGTTCTTTCGATGACGTCTTGAACTCCTGATCTTTGCCTGATTTGTTGGTTTGTTATTTGTTCTCAAAGGCTCACGTTCAGCATTGCACGTTCCATGGCTCGTTGTGTAACTCTGAGTTTAGTTTTTGTGTGAGTCTTAAAGTCTCTGCTCCATAAGTTTGTACAGACAAAACACGTTGGTTATAAACCTTTCGCTTGAGACACACGGGAATTGAACTATTTAGAATATGGCTTAATTTGCCAAATGCTGCCCATGTCAGGCCTATTCGCCTTTGTATTTCATGTGTTTGATTGTCTCTGCTTATTTTGATCTCGTGTCCCAGATATTTGTAAGTGTCTGTTTGTTGTATAGTATTATTGTCAATAGTTATATTTCCACTCATTACGAGATTTGTCATAAGTTTAGTTTGCTCAAAGTTTATCTTTAATCCTGCTCTTTTAGACAAACTTTTAAGCGAATGTATCATAGAACCTGTATCCTGTAAGTTATCTGCGATAATATAACACCATAATGTAATGCCATTTTATTTTGTCTTTCGCCTCATTAACATTAAAATTTTTACCCCACTATTATTGAAGTAATTTCAGATTGTAAAATTTTTCATTAGTCATTTCAGTCACGCTATCCGGTTTGTCTGTCTTTTTAGCCGTCTGAAATAATGTCATATATTGTTGTGCGACATACACTGGACCAGATTTTACGAAACGCTTTACTTGCTTTTCTAAGACGCTATGCACATTGTCTCCCTCGTTTTGAGAGTGACCGCGAATCAGAAATTTGTGGGTTATGCTTTTGACATTCATTTTCTGCATTGCATACGCATATGCTGTAAGGATGTGAGTTTATTTTTTTGCTGCCAGTCCAGTTCTCTACCAGGAGTAGCCTGTATAATTGTTTCTATATATTACAGAGTACAACTCCCAATCCCATTCGTTGTTTCACTGTTTAAGTCAATTTCTTGAAGTACTTGATGACTCGTAAATGGTGAAGGTATAGGTGGTGGTTGTACTTTCGCAACGTCACTGTTTTCTATTTGGGCACCAGGTTTATTATTTGTACTCTCCAGTGACAATAACGACGGTGAAGAGATTTCCTGCTCGCAATCCTCAGCATTTGTTGCTATAGCAACAAGTAATCGCCCACGACTCAGGTATTGAACCTAAAAATGAATCAAATAATTTTATTAGATTAAGCATATAGGTACTTGATGCAAGAATGTCACAAAGGGTGTACTAACTCTAAATTTATAAAATAAAGTTGTTGGTAAGCGTTCTTAATAACACTGCTACACATTTTAAATGAGTTATTACTATCCGGTAATCGAAAATAGATAACGATTAATCAATGTTAAAAAAAATCAACAAAAATGATTTAAAGTGATGATTCAACAATAATGTAGCATATCAAAAATATTGAATTGAACCAATAATAGTGTCGTTAGTAAAAATATTAATTTAAAAAGTGCTGGTGTAAATCAGTAATAATGTAATAACTAGAAGAACAACAATGTTATGGTTAGATTCAAATCAACAAGAATGTAATAACTCGAAATATAACTATGGAAATTACATACCTGATTCGGAAATAACGTGAAAACTCGAAATGATAAGCAAAGCAACACGTGCATTCCCGATCACTGTTGGTCGCAACTAAAAATGACGCGATATTGTGAGTAGGTGACGACAGTTGGTCAGTCATGACTAACGTCTTATGGCGCCATATCTTAATCGTTTATTGCAATATTAAAACGATAGTTTTATTGACTTATAGGGAATTGAATTTTACGTGTGAAAATAGTTTTTATGTCAATTTCGAAATATTTTGAGTTGCGACACTATTGTATTATTAGTGCGACGTTTTTATGTTTGTATATATTTAAGTTACGTTTTAAATTCCTTTTTCTACACTATGTATTTTTTTGACTTGCTACAAACACTATTTGTATTTGTTATGTAATTAAATAAATACTCTATTACCCTACTCTAAAAAAGTTCATTTTTAGGAGAAAAGCCTTGGAAATGTGCAACGTGTGGAAAGCGTTTCCTTCATAAAGACTCATACACATTTCACGTACGTCGTCATCACGACGAAGAACCGCATAAGTGTGAAGTGTGTAGTCAAACCTTTATTACACGCTGGGCTGTTAAAAAGCATATGCGTTGTCATACCGGCGAGAAGCCTTATAAATGTGAATTTTGCGATAAAACGTTTGCAGGTGAGTGCGATAATGCTGTTAGACCAGATATTCTGTTTACATTTTTCTTGTTTGTTACGTTAGTCTTAATTTTCATCTATCATAATCATGCAACACTTTTTGGTCGTCTTTCCCATTTCTATATATAATTGATGGATTCGACCGTTACTTGATGGAAATTCATTTTATGTAACAATAAAACACTGAAAACTTTGTTTTCAAACTTCCCCAAAATTTTGTGATGTTTTCCATTTTGTGATGAACTTCCACAAAAGTTTGAAAACAAAGTTTTCAGTGTTTTATTGTTACATTTATTGTTACATTTTATACATATATATATATATATATATATATATATATATATATTTCATTTTTCGGGGTCATTTCTTAAACTGGTTAAGGTCATACTTTCAACATCGTAAATTCTTAGTAAATAATTCTAGTCGATAATAAGAAGTCATCTATTTTTAATCTTAATATGACATGGGATGAAAATGTTACTAAAGTCTGCAAAACAACGAATAAGGGTTACTATGCGAACCTTTAGTTGAAAATTCAGTTGATTTAATACCAATCAATTGATAAGTGTGTACTATGCATATATGGCCTATAATGTTGCCTTGTGGGGAAACTATAGGAACTCTTCTAGAGTTTTTATAACTCAAAAGAGAATTCTTAGATTGATATTCAATATTGATCATAGACAATCATGTCGTAAATATTTTATTGAACACAGACTGTTGACTTTCCATGCTTTATATATTTATAAGTGTATTATTCACGTCAAAACTAAATTTCAAAATTTAGTTGCAAATTTACTTACCCACAACTTTGACTTTCATAATTACCCGACAAGACACGGGAGGTTGATTTATTTATTGCTAATTCACAATCTACTTCAATACAGTAATAAGTAAATATGATGTCTGTTCTTGGCTTGTGGCAGGTGTCGTCCATTGACGACTCTCTGGAATTTACCTAGCAGCTAGGTCTTCTGACCAAAGTCTTTTTAGACGTCTGTCAACCAGTGGGGGGGTTGAATAATTCATCTATGAGATGGTTTGGATGGTCTGCGCTGCGATTCATGTATCTTCTGGAGTGGTCAGCAATCACATCATTGATAAAGGGGATGTTGAGGTCTGCATGCAGGGTTTGGTTTGACACACCATGGAGCTTTAGCTAACATATGAATAGTTTTTGACTGGAATGTCTGCAGTATTTTGGTGTTGGATGGTTTGCTACAGTCCCACAGCTCAATTCTGTATATCCACACTGGTGGATCCACACGGTCTGCTGTATATCCACACTTGAGTATAATGAAAGTTGCGATCTTCTGTTGGTTAGCCAGCTCATATTTTTAACTTTTAGGTCGAGGTGTCGCCATTTGGCTGCAATGTGTGATTTCCAAGTAAGTTTTTCGTCTAGATGAAGGCCCAGGTACTTTACTTCTGTTTTTATTGGTATAGGTGAATTATTTAGGTGTAGTTGTGGACATCTAATTCTTCGATTTGTGAAATTTACTTGACAAGACTTGTGTTGACGTTTATTTTCCAGCATTTAAGCCAGTCTTCTAGTTCATTGAGATGATTTTGCAATTTGTTAAATGCTAATATTTCATTGATATCTGATGCTAGTATACCAGTGTCACCCGCAAATGTTGCCATTAGTGTATTTTCGCTAATAGGAATATCAGCAGTGAAGATTTGGTAAATGAATGGGCCAAGTACACTGCCTTGAGGTACTCCATATTTTATTTGGTGGTAATTGGATAACTTGGAAGTATCTGTCGGACAAGTATGATTTAAGGAGGAGGTAGATTTGGTCAGTTAGCTGAGTTTTTATTTTAAAGAGAAGACCCTCTACCAAATGCTTGCTGTATATCGAGCAATGCTGATAGACAGATTTGTTTCTCTTCTAGGCTCTCTTTTATTTTGTTGACTAATCTATGGCACTATTGTATCGTTGAGTGATTTGAGCGAAAACCAAACTGATGATCTGGGATAAGGTTTTTCATAGGTATTATCGTTTCTATTCTGTTAAGGATTAACGTTTCGAATACTTTTGATAAAGTCGGAAGGAGACTTATTGGTCTGTACGAACTGGCTTCAGTTAGAGGTTTACCAGGATTAGGTATTGTTATAATTTGTGCATACTTCCATTGCACTGGAAAAAATCATAGTCTCAGGAGGCTACTAAAATAATGGTTATTAAGACGACACATTTTCTTGAGAGTTTTTTTAAGATTTCGCCAGTTATAAGGTCAAATCATGGAGCTTTATGAAGATTAAGCACGTTAATTTGGTTACGGACTTCGTTTGGTGAAAAGTATTTTAGTGGTAATAATAGTTGACAGGGTGCATTTAGGAAGTCTCTAATTTTCTCGTCGTTAATATCGTTGGCCTGTGGGGTGGAGAAGACAGTTGATAGATGTTCTGTAAATCTGTTAGATTTTTCTATATCTGATCGAGCCCAGGTTCCATCATTTTTCCTAATTGGTGATTTCATTACTACCGGCTTTTTGAGTTTCTTTGTGGCTTTCCAAAGAGAGTTGTCGTCAAGAGAAAGGTTTGTGACATATCTTTCAAAGGATTCGTTTTTGGTTGTTTGGATAGCGAAATGAAGTCTGTGTGTGAGCCTGTTTAGATTTGTTTTATCTATCGCGTTTCTTGTTCTTTGCCATTTGCGACGGGCTCTTCTTCTCTCTTCTACTAGTGTTCTAATGTGGAGGGGTATACTATACCTTTCATCAATGGTTTTTTTCCTTTACAGGACTAGCTTTCCAAGCGGCCTGTTGTATTTGTTCCTTTAGATATTTTACAGCTTCTTCCCTACACAGTTGTTCCCTTTTGTTCTAGAAGTTATTGTGGGAGTATTGTCACAAGTTACCTGTTGGATATTTTATAATCTATGACTATAATTTTTAGATAGATCGAATAAAGATAGACATATGAAAATTCACAATAAACAACAACAAGGGCTTGTGAATACTCTGCAGTTGTCTCAGTTGCTCGATGAACAGGGAAATCCGTTGAAGATCACTCAGGACGGACAAACTGTATCTATTGTTACGTCCGGAGAGGATGATAGCAACTTGCATGGGATGCTACCTGATGGCAGATTGATACCGATAGAAATTACGTCGGCTCCTGAAAAAGACTTTGACCTGGTGAGTATGATTTCTTGTAAAATATGATTTAACTACAACATGGTCGGATTTTGACGCATCGGGATTCTAGACGTAGAATGTTCTACTAACATGCTTTTGTTTTCTCACACCAAAAATATTCCATGCAGGTTTATTTTGATATTATCAATGAATAAGAAAAATGCAAAATAAAATGTTTTAAAACGCTTAAAACTACAAATAAGTTATAGTATCTTAGCAACAAACAGACTTCGATCTAATAGTCGTCATCATTTTACACGGGTGGTAACAACTAAAAACTCATTGATTTTTTCTATCTTAATATATTCGTTATTTCCTCCCCTTTTATTTGATATGTCACATGTTAGGATTCGATCAGTTGTTTATTTTGTACTCAAGGCAGAGGCCTTCTTCTAGTAAATAATCAGAATTTGTCTTAAACTAAATCTATTTTTATCCATAGCGTCCTCTGATAACTGGTTGTTATACCACCGAACAACCCGAAGGTGCACTTGACTCGGCGGGAATTGTTCGCGCATCTGGTTTGCGCATTTTCAGCGGCCATATTTTAAGTTAACAATCACGTCGTTGACACGATCATTTTGAGGTTGTTGTTGTCAGATCATATTTGTTTCGTTAATAATTTGATTTTGTGCAATCGTAAATATGGATATACTGAATAAAAATAAAAGCAGATCAAGATGTGCGGCAGTGAACGGTAAAAACAGTTATTCAAATTGTACTTACGGGTTTTACCATTTTCCACCAAGGTAAGCATTTTTAAATTCATATCTGCAGGATCTATTTAGTCAAAGCCGGACCTGACTACTTTTAGATTTATAAAATGGCGCAAGGTCACCGAATGTGTCTGACAGCTACCAATGTAAATTTATGGGAGTGCACCTTCGGGTTGTTCGGTGGTTATACGTTCATTAATAACGAAGATGATATGTAGTGCCCTTTTGGTAGTCGCCTCAAATCGCAAAGACAAAACAGCTAGGAATAAACATTGGATGAGTGAAGAGAATCTCAATCTTGTAGAAGAAAGACGAAAAATAAACGGCAAATCAAATTTAAAATAAAAAGAAATAGAGATATGCACCATAAAGACTACTATAAAACACTTGTGCAGATGGGACAAAAATAATTATATTAAAAACATATATGTGTACAACTAGATGAACATGCTGATCGCCAAGAATCTAGAGAACTTTTCTCAAAAGTAGTATCTAGCCAGAGAATTCAAACCACACACACACAGATCATGAAAGATAATATTGGGAATACCATAACAAACCTAGACGGTATCGCAGAGGTGTTTAAACAATATTGCGAAATACTATTCTCTAACAACGACCCAGACAATAATACAGAGAAAAGAAGTTATGAAAAAGAACCACAAATCTTGAAATCAGAAATTGAGGCTGCAATTAAAAAGCTAAAATTCAGAAAAGCAGAAGGAGAAGGTGGAATAACAGCTGAAACACTCATGGGAGAATTAGGGACGAAAGTAATGCTTCTGAATGAAAATCTTCCCGGGCAGCTTGACGTGCTTCGCCTGACATACCTCCCCATTGCAGTAAATGCATTGATCAAGATGAGCATCGATTTGAACACTTACACTAACCCTTTTTCGAATACATTTTGTAATTTCTTTGAATAAATTAACCCCCCGTAACTAGAAATTTTAGTCTTGGTTTAACTTATTTCTTTTTATCTGCTTTTTAAACTCCATATTAAATTATAAACGTGGTAAATTTAGAACTTGTAATAAAAACTTTGTTCAAGACTAATTTGTTTTTTAGGAAATGAACCAAAATCCTGAAATGGGTCTTTTGGAACCGAATTCTTCGGATGCAATGATTCTACAAGACGTCTTAGACAACAAAGATATCGTCCCAAGTTTACAGGTATTGACAGATTCCCAAGGACAACAAGTATGCTTGATAACATATTCAATTAAAGAAGGGCGTGAGTAGAAGAATTGGTATCAAACTCGGTTCTAGTCAAAAATTGATACCGATAATTATTTCCTAGGTTTTTATAAATACTAAAAAATATACAGAACGTCTATATATATATATATATATATATATATATATAATATATATATATATATATATATATATATATATACCGGGTGGTGAATCGTCAAACGGGCCATAGGAAACTCAATGAGAAATTTTAAATTGTTGAATTGCTGCTTCCCTAATTATTTTAGATCAAAAGTCATAAAAAACTATTTGTAGAGGACTAAAATCTGAATTAAAAACAAATGTTAAAACCGTTCTACGAATCAAATGTACTTCAAAATTTTGCAAAAATATAATACATTTTTTAGGCCACCCCTAAAATTTAGGCCACACGTAATGCAAGAATATATATTAGAACTTGTGTGTTTTATCATATTGATGTCAGATATTTGACAATTTGAATTGTCAATTTTTTTATTTTATGAATAAATTATAAACAATGAATTTTACTAAATACTACTACTAATGAACATTATTACTTTGTGAACAATAAAACGATCAATATAATGAAATGTACTCAGTTGACGAAAAATCGCATAATGTTGTATTCAGGCAATAGCCAACCTTTTCCTGCCACTACCGGATCTTTATTTAACGTAAGATATTCTAATTCACTAAAATTTAATTCCATGTTAAGTTATACAACAATTCAATGAATTCCAATATACTGTTACTGTGATCTTTATTCCTAATAATAATATATGATAATTTCTAAACATAAAACTATAACAAATGTTATAATAAAACATGAATAAAACATTTTTATTATTGCTTTTTTCTCCTCAACTGAGTACATTTTTTAATCAACTTAATTTTTTTTAACAATAAATCACAAAATTTTGGTCATTTAAATCATAGATAAGTATAATATAATTGATTTAAATATTGTCAAATATCAGAAACAATAATATGACAAAACGCAACACGTAATACACATTTTTTCACAGAAAAATGTATTATATTTTAGCAAAATTTTGGAATACGTTTAAGTCGTAGAATAATTTTAACAGTTGTTTTCGATACATATTTGAGTCCTCTACAAATAGTTTCCCATGACTTTTGGTGTAAAATAATTAGGGAAGCAGGAATTTAACAATTTAGAATTTCCCATTGAGTTTCCTATGGTCCGTTTGACGATTCACCACCCTGTATATATATATATATATATATATATATATATATATATATATATATATATATATATATATATATATATATATAAGGATCACTCAGACGAGTGGTGGGTTCTTATATCGGTCTCTAGGTGGAGAAATAAAAGACAAAGTTGATAGGCTACTTTATCTATTTTGAAGACGTTTCGCTTTCGAGTTTTGAAAGCATCATCAGTTCATCTAAAAAATTATTACAATATGAGAACCACACAATCATGGAAACGATGTTAATTGTTACCTTAAAAAGATATGTAGCAGTCAATGTTATTAACAAACATGTGAATGAAACTAAGTAAATGGACATAATACGCTGATCTTGTATAAACAGTTAAGCAACTAACAACATATATGAACTTGTAAAAAATTTAGCACAGTAATTGACCATGTGGTCTAAAGTAAATTCAATGTTATTTAATGTTAATAAGTGAGCAAGAACCAAGAAAATCATAAATAACTTCCAACTATTTAATGGATATTTAGCTTTGATTTTAACTTTAGGTAGCATTATAAGTAATATTAATAAAATTCTAAAAAATAGTAAATATGAAGTTACCGATCAAAGCCCTATGAATGTCGCCGGGAAAATGGCGTTTAATGAAACAGGAACGAACTAAACCGCAAAAAGACAGCCAACCTTGAGGTCAAAATTACTTTTGACAGATCAACAAGGTGTAAATACCAACCCAAATTTTGGGCGGTTAATTTAAGTTTAACTGAGTTTGGATGACTACCAGGTTGCAAAGGCCAAAACAGTGAAAAAAGTTGGTAGTGTAAACACAACTCCCCTCACTAATCAGCCCAAATTTACAAACCGGAGATTTTCATTCAACCTCATAAGTATGTAATGACGTTAATCATTATGGCTAGTTAAACAGCCAGGTGGTTAACGATATTATAATTTCCAAACAGCCCAAGGTTCAATATACTTGGAGCTGTGATTCATGAATCACAAAGGATCAGCAAAGGATTCTATGAATCAATTACAATATTTGTGTTATTTTATATAAAATTTGAAACACTAATTAAAGTAATTAGTGTATTGAAATGCAATATGGGTTGCATATGTAATAGTAAAATTAAGTAAAGAAATTAAGTTATTTTATTGATATATTTATTTATTTTATTTCTATTTATGTATATAAATTGTTTTATGAAAAATGGAAAAAAGTTCAACTAGTACACCTAATATGACATTAATGTAGTGAAAAGATTAAGTAGCCTAATTCTGCAAAATTAAAGCATGATATATTTGGCTCAAGTTACTTATGTCAGTTCTCTTATTCAATGCATTAGGATGTTTTAATATTGAACACATTTCCAAAAACTGTCTTTTAGCTAGATTGCGTTCAGTGGCAAGGATCTTAACTTCATTAAAATCCACTTCATGTTTTGTATTTATCGCATGTTGTGCTAGGGCACAAGTGTGTGCCCTAGCATAATTATAATAATATAAATATATATATATATATATTATATATATATATATATATATATATATATATATATATATATATAAATATATAAATATATGATATATAAATAATAATAATTTTTCATAAAACAATTTTATATACATAAATAGAAATAAAATAAATAAATATATCAATAAAATAACTTAATTTCTTTACTTAATTTTACTATTACATATGCAACCCATATTGCATTTCAATACACTAATTACTTTAATTAGTGTTTCAAATTTTATATAAAATAACACAAATATTGTAATTGATTCATAGAATCCTTTGCAAATCACAGCTCCAAGTATATTGAACCTTGGGCTGTTTGGGAAATTATAATATCGTTAACCACCTGGCTGTTTAACTAGCCATAATGATTAACGTCATTACATACTTATGAGGTTGAATGAAAATCTCCGGTTTGTAAATTTGGGCTGATTAGTGAGGGGAGTTGTGTTTACACTACCAACTTTTTTCACTGTTTTGTCCTTTGCAACCTGGTAGTCATCCAAACTCAGTTAAACTTAAATTAACCGCCCAAAATTTGGGTTGGTATTTACACCTTGTTGATCTGTCAAAAGTAATTTTGACCTCAAGGTTGGCTGTCTTTTTGCGGTTTAGTTCGTTCCTGTTTCATTAAACGCCATTTTCCCGGCGACATTCATAAGGCTTTGATCGGTAACTTCATATTTACTATTTTTTAGAATTTTATTAATATTACTTATAATGCTACCTAAAGTTAAAATCAAAGCTTAATATCCATTAAATAGTTGGAAGTTATTTATGATTTTCTTGGTTCTTGCTCACTTATTAACATTAAATAACATTGAATTTACTTTAGACCACATGGTCAATTGCTGTGCTAAATTTTTTACAAGTTCATATATGTTGTTAGTTGCTTAACTGTTTATACAAGATCAGCGTATTATGTCCATTTACTTAGTTTCATTCACATGTTTGTTAATAACATTGACTGCTACATATCTTTTTAAGGTAACAATTAACATCGTTTCCATGATTGTGTGGTTCTCATATTGTAATAATTTTTTAGATGAACTGATTATGCTTTCAAAACTCGAAAGCGAAACGTCTTCAAAATAGATAAAGTAGCCTATCAACTTTGTCTTTTATTTCTCCACCTAGAGACCGATATAAGAACCCACCACTCGTCTGAGTGATCCTTATATATATATATATTGGATTGACGGTCGTACTCCTTTTTCCGGTATATATATATTTTATATATATATATATATATATATATATATATATATATATTATATATATATATATATATATATATATATCTCCCATTGCTACCGGTTTGCTCTTGAATTCAATTTAGACAATTCCTATTCCAGTCTTGTTCCTTTTAGGAAGCAATGTTAAAATTATAGGGAAAGAAAGAGAGAGTGAGAGAGTACATTTGTCTCCATAGACGTATATATTAACATAGACCGAATATACCGGAAAATTCTACAAGGAAAACGAGGACCAGGAAGGCGAAGGATTTCCTGGCTGAAAAATCTCCGTACGTGGTTAACACAACCACAAATCTTTTCAGAGCAGCAGTTTGCAAAATATAGATTGCCATGATGGTCGCCAACATCCGAAACCGATTGGCATTACAAGAAAAAGAGCATACGGGCCGCGCGTACTGACGACAAGATCTCTTGGGCTTATTCGTTCTATCTCATTCTAGCACATTAAGTACCGAGACGTTAAGAGGGGGTATAAGCACATTAAGAGAGGACTAGGGAAATGTGGCAAAATGCTTAAAACTGATTGTTTACGTTTTTGGTGTTTTTAAACTATTAATTTGTATATAATTTTAATGTTTTTATTATATGTATCTTTTTTAAATGCAAGTTTATGCACTTTTACAGTAATGTCTCTAAACAAATATGTTTTTGATTTTTAACTGATTTATTACGTGCCCTTGCCCGATTTTTGAAGTTAGATGTGAGAGTTTAAAAATAATTGACGATATTACAACACACATATGGAATAATGAACTGCAAACCACCACCTAACTTCATACTTCTACTTCTCTCCACTTAAAAGACACTGTCACAGCTTTACTATTTCATTATTTGTAAGAGTGAGACAGATCAAACAACGAAAAAAAAGATAATGTAGCAACTTCGCTCCACAGAATGCTCAGTCTATGTATATATACAGTCCCTGCTCATTTTATTATACTCACCATAAAAATTACAGTTTTTTTTATTTCAATCGCACTGAAAGTATGTTCACTTGGATACTAAGGTGTTGAATGGGTTGCATAACTATTGGGTACATAGTTACGTAGAAAGTGGTATAAATTTTTCTTAGAATTATCAAAAATTTACAGATGACGACATACTTGAATCAATCGGGGAGTCGGTTTCTTAATACACAAAAGACTTGCAGATAACAGTCATTAGAAGAAGCATATCCACAAGTGTAGCATATTTAATCGTAACGCTTAACCGAAGGTATAAAATAAAGATTATTTAAGTATAAGCTCCAACAACGGACCATCCGGATGAGCAGAAGAATTCTACGATGATATCTCAACGGCACTGAAAGAAATACTAACACACAGCGATCATAGAGTAATAAGAGCCAAACTAAAATTAGACTTAACAACAGAAAGATCCAAAATGATTAGGAAGAAAGCCAACCCGATATGGAACGACACAACGAATTTAAATGAATACCAAGACAATATCAATAAAATCCTACAACAAAATTATGCATAAATAATGTAAATATCCTAAACAAAAATATCTTAGAAGTTATTCTAGAGGCTCAAGTAAAATGTTGCCCTAAAAGAGCACAAGACGAAAAAATAACCATTGAAACAAAGCAACTAATGGAAACTAGAAAAGAAATCAAAGGTATGTCGTAGAAGGAAGCGTGCGACAAGACCAATATAAAAGGGTTTTGCAGACAAGATTGGTTCCACAAGTGAACAAATGGTTTAGTAACAGCCATAAGATATTTATACAGTATGGGGCACCTTGCCATGCGGTTAAAAGTATTAAAAATTTTTGTCAGAACAAGAAATTCCGCTCTTACCACCCAGCAACTCACCAGACATGAACCCCATTGAAAATGTCTGGGAGTGCCTAAAAAGTGAGTTAGCCAAGGAAATAATTACCAACAACTTTTAGTTGATAGAAAGAATCATTTTTTACTTGAATCATACCGAAAATTTAAGAGAAATCGCAGGAAAATGCATAAATGCCTGAGAGAGTGGTTGCACTGCTAAAAGCCAAGGGTCTCTTAACAAAATATTATTGTTATAGTAAAATATTGTAATAATTTAAGTTGTTTTTGTTCAATATATATGCAAAAAGTTTACTAGAATTTTACTATCATTTGTGCTGTTTCTTATCTACAGGGTGGTGAATCGTCAAACGGGCCATAGGAAATTCAATGGGAAATTCTAAATTGTTGAATTCCTGCTTCCCTAATTATTTTACACCAAAAGTCATGAAAATTTATCTGTAGAGGACTGAAATATGTATTGAAACCAAATGTTAAAATTGTTCTACAAAATAAATGTATTACAAAATTTTGCAAGAATATAATACATTTTTCATGTATTATTTTCAGAATGTGGATGGCATGTTGCGTTTGGTAATATTTGTGTTTCTGATATTTGACAATATTTGAATTGCCAAAACATAAAAATTTTAAGTTTGTTATAGTTTTATGTTTAGAAATTATCATAAATTATTTTTAGGAAGGATCACATTAAAATTATATTAAAATTTTTTGAATTGTTGTATAACCTGGAATTGAATTGGGCTGTATTATGATGTATTATGTTAAATAAAGATCTGCAGTGCTCACACTATTGCCTGAATACAACATTATTGCGATTTTGCGCTAACTGAGTACATTTCATTAATTTTATTGCTTTGTAAACAATATAATTTATTGTTTACAACGTACTACTTATTGTTCACTAGTCGTAGTAGTAATTGTAAAAATGTGCGTATTCTAGTGTAGATTTAAGTTCTTTACAAATAGTTTCTTATGACTTTTGATGTAAAATAATTAGGGAAGCAGGAATTCAACAATTTAGAATTTCCCATTGAGTTTTCCTATGGCCCGTTTGGCGATTCACCACCCGGTATAGCTAACATAGTTATAATTATAATTGATAATAAAACATAGAGATCTAGAATTTAAGTGAGTCTAATAAATGGGAGCAGAGGGACTGAACGTCTATGCATTTACCGTTTGACACTATATTCGAATATCTTGTCAATGCGTACATTTTATTGGATTGTTACTTGCTTTCCAACGTTGCCACTGCTCATCTAAAAATCAGTAATGATAAAATTCAACTTAGATGGAGATGAATATACTCGGAAAAACTTAACAAAGCTACATACATGTTTCCGTAGTTTTTTGGGCAGTCTTTCCATGTACGCAACTGATATCTGTTGACTAGGATTTTATATAGGAATAAAACATGTGTAATTAAAAGCCGTGAAATGGTATACTTAAAATATTTTATTTTTATTGTATATTATAAATATTTTAATAAAGCAAATGAATTTTAAAACAAAATGAGTGTTTTTATTGCGTAGGCGCTTTCCTCTAATTGTAAAAATATATTTATAACAAAAAGTCTATAACTTTGCACTTTTAAAACTCGCCAGTTTTTTGCTCCAAATAAACAAGAATCTCGTACATAAAGCTTTTTCTGTTGTTAATCATTTTTCTAGACATTAACGTCATTAACATCAAAATATATTTAATATATAAAAATATAATTATTTAAAGTGTATAAAGAAGAAAAGTTTTGTTTAACTGTTTGTAGAATGATCTGCTTACCCTACGGTGTGAACTGATGCATTAACAATATTTTTATTCATCAATATTGGCAACACGTTTTGCTTCAGTCCGTATTGCTATGCTGGGATATAAATATCAGTTTGATTGAAATTACTCTCAGGTTGAAAACATTTTTGTTTTGGCGGGACAATTGACACTTAATAAACCTTTTTATAATTTACTTCAGTTGAAAATTGAAATAACTGTCTTCTTATTGCTAAATAAGACAATATTCTTTTTTTTCTATTGTATTAGATTAAACCTCTGACTCCTCTATTGTATTGTATATACTCTCGTCATAGTCTCTCGTTTAAAAACTATGGTATATAACCAACTACTGAGAATTTCCTCTTTTAAATTTTATTAGATGTTTGTAGACCTCAAAAGAATGCTCCAAGGAAAGAAATTTTTATCTAACGAAGTTTAAAGCACAAACTGAAACGAATTTTGAGACAATTCATTCTACAAAATAAAGTAGTTAAGCTATGATGTTTCTGGTACACTCTGGGCGAGAACTGTTCATTAAATTTTAGCCATACCATCACAGATTACGTCACAATAACGTTTCTCACTCTTCCACACATCGCTTATAGCACTTTTCCACAGATCCACTGAAATTGTGACGTCAGTTCACACCCTTTACATGTAATTGACGTCACAATTACACCAAACTGGGCCAGAAACCTCATACCTTATCTACTAAATAAGATAGAATTGTTAGATAGGCATTTAATGTTAATATTAGTATGATTGTTGATAACAATATGTTGGTGATATGTAATGATAAAAACAAAAACAATGAGATATCATGACATACACATATCATGACAAACATAAAACAATGAGATGAACAAAAGATAGAAGCATTTGAGTTGTGGATGTATCGTAGAATATTAAGAATACCCTGGACAGAGAAAGTAACAAATGTGGAGGTTTTGCGGAGAGTGCGGAAAGAGAAAGAGCTGATACTTACTGTTAAAAAGCGCAAACTACAATATTTGGGACATGTTATGAGGGGAGATAAATACCAGTTGCTGCAATTGATTATACAGGGAAAGATAATGGGAAAGAGATCTATAGGAAGAAGAAGGCATTCATGGTTGAAAAACTTGAGAGAATGGTACAATTGCACCAATTACCAACTGTTTAGATCTGCAGCATCAAAAATACGCATAGCTTTGATGATAGCCAAACTTCGGAACGAAGACGGCACTTGAAGAAGAAGAAGAAAAACAATGAGAAAACTAAGAGAAAGATGATATTAGTGCCTAAAACCTTACACATTTTTAATGAGTTTTTATTAACTAGTTTCATTATATGGACTCGTAAATTTGAAAAAAGTTAAATGAGACAATTGCTTTAACTGCGCCAACTTTGCTTAACACCTGAACCAGAGTAACAGAACAAAATTAATCCATAATAAAAAATTTGAGACTCAACCAAGTATTTTAAAAACAAAACACTTAAAATTGGAGCAAAATACTGATTTTGATCTTTTATATCGTTCAACAGCATTCGACTACAGCGTCAAATAAAAATATCAGCTTTACATGGTAAAATTTTGCGTGTAATCATATTCGATAGTAGGTATAACCGATTGCATGAATTTTAAGAAAATAATTAAATACATATGCACTCCTAATTCTCCACCACCTTCCATCACAGTTTCTATGATGCTCTTCATCACTTCAGCATGTCTGAAATAAAAAAGTACTGAATATTATATGGCATAATGTGATTCTTTTCAAAAAACAAATTAATAAAATGGTATTAATAAAATAAATATATTCCAAGTGACTGGAAATTACTATACAACCAAGCACACGTGTTTAGAGCCAATAATTAATAATATGAATATTTTATATGATTCCCTAAGTAAGGGAGAATTCACATACTTATGCTCCCTGTCCCTTATGTCACAACCTGTGAGAAGTAGGAGTAGGTCAAAACTCAGATGGAGGGATGGTGTAGATAAGGATGGTAGAAAAATAGGCGCAGCAAAGTAGGGGAGACCTATATCCAGCAGTGAACGTGATAAATAACGCCAGAGCTTAAAAACGACTACCGATTTCGTTAATTTTTTTTAAGTTTAAATTTGCATAGAGAATTAAAAAATTTTGGTCGTCATGGAACTTTACAGAAATTTTTTCAAAAAGACTTAATTAATCTTGATATTGGTAGTGTTGTATCAGAAAGACATATTAAAATTTTTAATGTACCTACATGGATGTGTAAACTTACCGACATGGATGCACAGATGCCATTTTGGGTACACTGAGATGAGGATGGGTTTCCATAGTTACCGTTTTCTGAATATAATCTTTGCTAACATCTTCATATAATTCGTCAACTGTCAATGGTTCGTGTTTCTAAAATAACAGAACATGAAATAAAATGTAAAATAGTTTTAAAAATAAATACAGTTATTCTAATAGCGAGATTAGCTGTACAGTACAAGATGATATGTTCAATTGCTGTTTTTTCTCTATTGCTTTGACTGTTCCTTCATCTCTGGCATTTAGAAATGGACTAATGTTTCCAGTTGTGTATTAGCAAAATAGCAAAAAAAAACCTCCAGATTTAGTTCTACCATTTCCAAGCGATTCTCAGAATCCAATGTAACAACTTTTTATCAAAAGTAAGCAAACCGAACAGCAATAGTACAATTAGCTTTTCATATCCAAATGTTTGTGTACAATACTATTTATATGTCCAATTTACATATTTAGGACCTCTGGTATTTTCCAATTTTGATTTTAGAGTTCAAGTCCATCAAACATACTTACAGATTCGCCATATACAGCATATATTTCAGCTCTTATTTCCATTTTGCCAAAAAATCGTTGTTTTTGTTTGAAATTGACAGGCTTCATGCTTGTATGACACGTGTCAAAAACGGAGAACAATTATTTATCATGCAACACCACCTATTATAGATTAGTATCGAGCCACCCTCACAATATAACCTATGTGTCTATTGTATAAAAAAGAAATTATTTCCTTACCTCATTGTATCCTGTAAGCCACAATCTTGGTGTTTGATAATATTTATCATAAGTAATGTGCAAATCGTATGTTCTAGTATGTATAATTTCACCATCTTCTTCGATATTCTTTTTGGATTCTACTGGTTCAATTACTTTAGCTATCTGTGAAAACATGAAATTAATATTTTAGTATGACATTGATGCTAACAACAAATATTATATACATTGATTACTTTCAACAATCTTTAGATATTATAATCTGAATTGTAAAACAATATTATTACCTGGTCATCTTCTAACATTCCACTTTCTTCAAATTCTTCCATATCAGCTGCTTCTTCATCATCATCATCTTCCTCATCATCATCATCATTGTCCCTGAGAGCAGCTTCCTCCATGCTTTCAGATTTAGTGTTTTCTAGAGTCATTTCTGAAACCTTATTTTCCACTGATGACATTTCTTTGTCATAATGATGGGTATCTATCCAACCATTATCAGCATCATCCGATTCTGAAATTAAAAAAAAATGGTTCATGTTTGTATAAGATATGTTATCAACCAGTTTATTCTTGTAGTACCCTCTCCATGAGAAGAGTTTGGTATTGAATTTATCAAGGTAGACTTTACCATTCAGCCATAAGGCCCGAGCCCTAAATAAAAACTGAAAAAACAGTATATTAAAATTATTTTTTACTTTAAATATTTAAGATTTTATTAATCTTATCACAAAATTAACCTTCAAAATAAATAGTTTGTAATAAATTAATTAAACCAGTTGATTTTCACTTGCCTGTCATACTACAGTAACTACAAAACCTTTTAATCAAAAATTTGTATTGAAAATCTGTGGCATTTATCATAGTTGACCTTTTTCTTTTTCCTTAATTTATTACTCTTCTTTTTTTGTTTGTTTTTATACCATAACCAATGTATTTTGGATTAAATTTCAGTTTATTTTCCTGTTTGCAAGGGATATAAAGATTTTAAAATAATCTTTTTTCATCATTATCCGTTGGTATTACAGGCCTTTGTGAGCAATGGCCTGCATCAAAACATTCTTCCATCCCCTTACTCCAATCTCCATTAAATCGTCCAGATACCTGAGTTTAGGTCACCCACTTCTTATTACAACCAGTGTATTTACTATGGTTATTTTAGAATGATCACTTTCATCCATCCACATAATGTGGCCCACCCTCTTAGGTATTTTATTTTAATGGAATTTTATGATATCTGCATCACCAAAAAGTCTATAGAGTTCGAAATTATATTGCCTTCTCAACAAAACCTTTTTCATTAACTTTGTTAACAACCATAATATTTTCTACTCATTCTCATACTTATTATCAATATATCATTTACTTGTAGATGACTTAATAAGATATATGAATGATATTCTTTATGTAACTTCTACAGGTTTTTTTAAATACATATCAGCTCAGTATACTTAATTTTCTAATTAATTCAATTAAGCTTCTACTAAATCTACTTACCAATTATCTTTTCCATCTCTCGTGAATATTCCATCTGTTCACATCTTCTAGAACATGGCACATTTCTGGTTATCAAAAATTGTTTATCTTTCGGTAAATAGGGTTTTGTTTTTGATTCATCTCCTCCAGCCCACTGCCAGGTGGGACAATGGTGCACTAGATGATCTCCTGCAGCTATAAATTCTTCTGGAGTTAGCACTCCTGTTTCTTTAAACTTTGACTCCTAGATAACAAAAATATACTGTATTTACCAAAACACTTATTTGTTCAAATATTTGCATAAATTGTTGGTAATGTAAATTAAACCAGTGGTATGTAAATAACATAATTAATTATTACATATGTGTTACTTAACTCAATAAACAGTATTATAACCATAAGTTTACATATATATTTTACCTTTAAAACCGGTGTCAAATATTCCCCAACTGCAAGAGCTGTACCTTTAACACTGTTGATTACGTTTTGCATGTTTTCTACAATTCTATCTTATTCAAAATTATTTTTTTTAGTTCAGAAATTCTACAAAATCAATTTTCGTGTTGCCAACAAGGCTAGTCTCCAAGTCTGGTCTGTTTTTTGTCAAATAATACCTCCGTTACAACCCCGCACCCTTTAACCGGTGTTGATAAATTTTGACAAAATCATAAAATAAAATCAAATCACAAGTTAAAACAGTTGGCGATCCTGGCAGAGAACATACGAACACGTTCGTAGTTCTCTGATCCTGGTTTATCACAAAAGGTTAAAACCAGACACAAACACAAAACGTGACAAAACGTAGAAAAGATAGAAAATAGGGTTAGAGGCTGAAGCAGAGACAGAGATATACCATTACTATCTATGCCATATACCTCTGAGCACTGAGCAGAGATATGTAACCACAGAGAGCATATCTCTGGGCTGATCGGCTTTGTTGCCGTTTTTCTGTTGTCTCTGAAACTGTCATTTTCATGAAAATTAGAACAAAACCATTAAAGGGTATTTTACACGTAGTTCTATAGAGCATCTTACACGTATTTGAAAAGGATGTCTTACACGTCTGTCAATTATTTCTAAGACAAAATCTTTGTTATATGATTAAAGAGTCCCTAAAAGCTATTTTACATGTCGTTTAAATGGATGTCTTTCAACCAAACTAAGATAAAATGTCACCGAACAGCACTGGTTCCGATTAAAACATGACTGATTCCGTCAGCGGGAACGAGATGCGCGTACTTATCTTGACAAGTAGAGTGGGCATTCTGATTGTTTATATTCTATGGTCTTAGCCTACTGTCAATTATTTCTTATAATTTGAGTGTTTTATGACCAGAAAAGAGAAGAAGAAGGATGTGTTTGTCCATTGTCTACCCATAGTAATTCCCATAGAATTGTCATTAAACAAGTTATAAATGCCTTTGCTAAATATTTTGCTGCATCATCTTGGCATGGCATCCCGCATCAGTAATCAGTATAAAATATCATACATCTGACTGCACCAGAATACCAGAGATATACCATATCTCAGATTGTCACTCTCATTCTCATGTTCTCATGCACTCTCACAAGTCACAGTGGGGTTTATAACCTTTAATATGTCACAGAATTAAATTACACCACAGAATACTAATCACAACTATTAAGGGAGCTTTACATCTAGGCTATGCAAGTCTCATGCTATGCAAGTCCGTCTTGCATGGCACATCTCTTGCCTAGCTTGACCTTTTTACATCAGAGATATTTCTGTGCAATTTTAGATCCCACTTTCATTGTTGCCAACAGAGAAAATATTTATCAATTTGAGGTTATTTTATTTTAACACGTTAAGCCCCATGTGTACCACACTGGCACACACTCTAGTTTTATCTGGGACCGTGTGTACCTATCAGGCCACAGCGAAGTGTCGTGTTCCTAATGCCGTGGCTCGTCGAGGATCGCATTTGCCGTGCTTTCTTATGTATAAATGTGTGTAAACGGTCTGTGGTAAACAAAATCAGAGATTGGTCCGTTAAACCACGTGTTCACAAACAGGTTAGGTTATAATTTCTAACATGCTTCAGTCAGTATCGGTTCGAACGTCTAACGAGGCTAAGACTATTTTCTCTTCAGTTTTTTGTTAAAAAGTGGAACTAAAAAATAAGATAATGTTCCGTAAAGGACTATCGGAAGACGAACTTCGCAGAATTGCTGAGGAGAGTGACTTTAGTGATATTAGTATGTCTGAAAGTACGTTTTATGATTCTGATGCCGATCCAGTGTACAATGAAAATGTTACTGATGGTTCTTCAGACTCATACAGTAGTGAATATGAGTCTCGTAGAAAAAAAGCTAAAATTTGCAAACAAACACAAAATTGCAAAGAATCTACTGCAGGTTCTAGTTCTAACCAAAAGGAGGCTGATACAAGAAGGATAGGTAAGTTATTTAAAAATGCACAAATTTGGTTTGTAGTTTACTTTTTTTTTTGCTTTGTAGAAAAAGCTGAATCTGCAAACGTTAACCTGGAAGCTGTTATTGACGATGTTGTATCAAGAAATAAAATAACTGCAGGTCCTAGTTGTATCCAAAAGGAGGCTGATACAAGAAGGATAGGTAAGTTATTTAGGAATGCACAAATTCTGTTTGTAGTTTACTTTTTTTTGCTTTGTAGAAAAAGCTGAATCTGCAAACGTTAGCCTGGAAGCTGTTATTGACGATGTTGTATCAAGAAATAAAATAACATGGAGCGATGTGCCAAATCCAGATGATCTCAATAAGTTCGAACTATCCTTTACTACAGGAATAAATCAAGAAGAACTCGCAAAACTTACAGACCACAAACCAATAGATTTCTACCTACTGTTTATCGACCGTCAAGTGCAAGATTTGTTGGTTACTGAAACTAATAAATACGCCGAACAAACCATAATCGCTGGTATTGTAAATGAAGCAATAACGAAACATTCGCTTATGAGTAACTGGAGACCAATTGACAGAAAAGAATTGCTTCGATTTTTGGCTCTCATTATTTGGATGGGGTTAGACAGAAAACCGGAACTCAGAAATTATTGGAGTAACAATTTACTTTACAAAAATGAAGTTTCTAAAATGTGTGAAATAAGTAGAAGTCGATTTGAAATAATATTACACTTCTTTCACATTTCAGATAACGAGAGCTGCCCACCTGGAAACAGACTCTACAAAATTTCTCCTCTTGTACAAATACTAAATGAAAAGTTTCAGAAAATGTATACTCCTAGAGAATCGTTATGTATTGACGAAACTATGGTGCCATTTCGTGGTAGACTTAGTTTTTTGCAATACATTCCTGGAAAAAGACACAAATATGGAGTCAAATTGTTTAAACTTTGCGTCGCAGATGGATATACGTACGCCGTTAAAGTGTACGGTGGAAAAGAGATGCAACCATCTGAAAAGTCGTTAGCATCCAGAGTGGTGATGGAACTTATGCAACCGCTTCTAGATACAGGCAGAACTTTATATACTGATAATTTTTATACGAGTGTTGACTTGGCTCATGATTTAAATAATAGGAAAACCCATTTAGTCGGAACATTACGTTCCAATAGGAAACATAATCCCAAAGCGGTAGTCGATGCAAAATTAAAAAGAGGTGACATGAAGTATCTACAGAGTAATACAAAAGTTGTTATCGGAAAATGGAAAGATAAACGGGACGTTTTGTTTTTAACGACCAAGGATATTCCTTTGATGATAGATGTTCAAACAAAACGTGGACCTGTTCCCAAACCATCGACCATTGTTGATTATAATTCTGCAAAATCTTTTATCGATGTGTCGGATCAAAAGGCTGCATATAATTCCCCTGTTCGACGAAGTATAAAGTGGTATCGTAAATTGGCTGTGGAATTATTAACAAATACCGCACTTGTGAACTCTTTAGTTCTCTACAAATCTGTTACTGGCAAACATCTCTCAATTACTGAGTTCCGTGAACAGATTGTTCAAAGTCTTTTAATGTCTCAAACAACTTCTGAAAACTCTTTAACAACTCTGCATACGTTGGACGAGAAAGAGAAAAGGGGAAGGTGTTCAGTATGTTACAAGAACTTTTCGAACCTTGAAGGAAGAACATCAGCGATGAAGAATGCCAAAAGGGTGTACACTTTTTGTCCGGCATGTGCCGTTAATACCGCATATATGTGTGTTAAGTGTTTTGTGAATATTCATACATGTTCTTTGAAAAAATAAATTGTTTTTGTATTTTTAAACTTAAAATATCTTAGGGAGAAGGTATTTGATTATCTTCTTGGTGTGAGCCAATATGGCACACATGGTCCACATTAAAACAAATTACAAAAATAATTATAAATAGACCGTGTGTACCCTGTTGGTACATGCTGTTTTTTTACTTAAAAAATGTATTTTGGTTTTATTTTAGAATAGAAATAAATAGTTATACACATTCTTATTTCATAATTATTAAAAAAATGTTCCGGTCTGACAGAAAACTTATGTCATGATGGTCCGGGGCTTAACGTGTTAAATAAAAAATATAATTAAGTAATAAAATAAATAATATAATAACTAAATATACACTATTTATGGTTATTAAAATGGTGAAGGATGTCAACCAAAGAAAAGAAAACATTGTTATTGTTGAATATCGCTGTTGTAGCAACAATCATCCATAGTCAACGACTCACCCAGTCGTTTTTACATTAACTTTAGACATAGTATATCTATTTATCACCACTTAATAAACTTAATTTAAATCAAAACACAACAATACACATGTGGCTTAAGGGACGCTAAAGATAGAGATAAGGTTATGTTTTATTCTGTAATCTATTATAAATTGTTATGTTGGCAACATGAATTTTAACGATAAATTGCAAGAAAATTGCATGAAAAATAGAACATGTTCTACTTTTTCGTCTAGCACAGGAATGGACCACAGGAGTGATGACGTAGATTTGATTGACATCTGCCAGTTTCACTTTCCAAACAAACGTTGTTTAGTGTGGATAATTTGTATTTTTCGTTATTTTTTCATTTATTTTATAGAATCTTTCCGCTTTTTGCAATATTTAAGTATTCTAATAGTTACTACAACAATTTTACAAGGTTGTGTAAATAATAAAGCACATTGTTTTATGCTAATAGGAATAAAATGAAAGTATCAATAAAGTAAGGTTAAAATTTCTTTAATTAAACTTTTAAACCATATTTCATAGAAATAGAACTCTGAATTATGACGGTATTATCGTAAAAACACTATACTTACAAGAAAAAGCAGCAGAGGAAGCAAAATGTTAACTTTATAGGAATTAAAAAGTCTTGAGATTTGACATTTCAAGGTTTGTTTGGAAAGTAATAATGACATGTGACGTCACACTCCTGCGGTCCATTGCATGGAAATAGCCCGTGGGCATGCGCAGTTCCATGATCTGTCTTGCATGGCTCTTGCCTAGCATGAAAATAGCATAATGTAAAACTGTCTTTAGTGATTAGTGTTCTGTGATTACACTATAAATATAAGATAATAGATGTCACATGATAAAAATTAAATTAACTTTTTAATAAATCATTAAATCAATGTAGAATATAGAAATAGTAACACAACTAAATTTTATAGTTAATCACAAAAAATCAAATAAACCTTTAAAATTCATACAGTGTAATTATATTAA